TTCTTCTCATACTAAATCCAAAACACAGCACTAGGAAGAAACTTAACTCTATCCCAGCCGAAACCAGGGCAAAGTCTTTTCCAACTGAAATGATTTTAGGATTCTATGATTCTATTTATGTGGATCCTCAAAATTGTGCAGCTGCATTAGTGTGTCTATGTGGCCTAGCTAATAAACCTCTCATCAGGGCTAATTACTTTGGGGACAGCATCAAGCCAAAGTGGCTACACTACCTCAGGTTCTGGCACTAAGTCAGGTATGTCTTTACCATGCCCCATTGCCTTGTGTAAGCATACTATAAATTGATTTTTGTGTGACAGATTAGGGGGTTGGTTCAGGCCTTATCACGAAAAAACCCCACCACCAAACCGCCAATACACACCCCCCTATTGTGGCTGAACAACTTCTACAAATAGGGAAGAGAGGAAGGTTACAAAGAAGTATGTAAGGAACCACGGGCAATGGGGCCAAGCACAAGATTTACAGTAAGGTACTACACATTCCTGTCCCAGCTCTGCCACAGACTTTCTCAGATATATTCACTAGGAAGTGCCAGATGTTCTTTATGTGGAAAGGGAATATAATACTTATTCTTGTAGCTGATGTTGCAATAATTTTTTTGTTGGTGTTTACAAAGTACCATTTACTGGTGAAACTAATCACAATGTATTGAAAATATTTAAGCCCTCCACCATTCATCACTTTCAAAATTGCCTATTTTGATAGCTTTACCTAGCAAATAAGTTTCAATGTCAGCCTCAGTTCAGCTGCCCCATTGTTGATGGGACATATCAGCGTAGTCTTCCTACTTGATAAATAATGGGGAAGACAGGGAGAGAAAAGGCTGCACAAGAGAAGATTTGCCTTTCTGCTGCTTTGATATTCCCTGCCCGAGGTCGTGGCAGACTGGACGCGTTAGCTCTTCCTGTCTTTAGCATGTAGAAATTTCTGTAGCGAATTCTGCAGTTGAATGCTTGTTGATACGGGCGATGACATCTTTCAGATGATCCATCTTGACCCAGCTGGACCTCTTGCCTAACCTGCTTAGATGATTTCAAAATCCCAGTAAACCAAGATTTATTTATTTAGGTGCATAAAATACAGTCTCAGTCTATGGAGGCTGGCCTGGATACCCTGCAGTTTTACTGCTATGCCCCCAGGATTTCTTTTTGGTTTATTTTGTTTTAATTAGACATGAACTGATGTTTTACGGAAGCCTTTTACCTACCTGGGCATATAGTGCATATTCATACTATACCCCAATAATCCTGCTGGGAGCTGCCTCATCACTGTCTCCACGTGATCAGAACATTTGTTTTCTTCAACTTTCATTTTGAAAAGAAAGTACACAAAATTAAAGTAGGACCTCCATTTCTTAGGTGCTTAATTAGCACCTAATTGTCAACAAAAAACTGCTGCAAAAACTTGTTTATAATATGATTTCCAATAAAGTAATTTTTTTTTCTTTCTGTCATGCACATTTTAAAATATATCTTAGTCTTGCCCTTTGCTGAGCTGAAACGCTCTTTGCTTGTAAACTGCAGGCAGAGTTTTGCCATAGAACAAACCGTGCAGACTAGTAATCGAAAGACAATTTGAACCATGCAACATATGGCAAACCTGAACAGCTAATTTGGCAAAATCA